ATGATTTAAAAGGGAGGTAATTATTGAATTGTCTTTTCCAATGCAATAAAGTCGTGTAGTGTCCATTTATCTTTGATATATTATAAATAAGTGGTATTTTCATGGGTTTGCCTTAGGACCCTTTTTGGTGGCAAAATGAAATTATGTAATGAAGTTGAAGTTTTATTTGGATATGCGATATAAAATTTTAATTTATAAAAAAAATAAAAAATTTCTAAATCGAGCTTAATAACTTACGTGCATGTAAATATATTTTATATATTCACTTTATGTTAAATTTAATATATAAATAAATTTAATAACATTTTTTCATATATAAATATAACCTAGGTCCTAGACCTATAGTGACTGAACGACTTTGGATCTTTACCCTCTAATTAATTAGATTTAAAATTAAAAGATACTATAATAGATACTCTATCAAATAAATCTACAAATCTATGCAAGCACTCCTATTAAATGTTTAAGATCAAACAATACGGCAACAAGATTTTACATTCTTGACTTCTTGATGAAAAATTGAAGTGTTTCTTCAAGAATATACTTGCGAAAGAAATATTTTAATAATAATATATTTTGAGGTCATATTTTAAAAGTAAAAAATCGAAAATTAACCGAACTGTACCGATATCGAAGAGAAACCGATATGATTGGGATGATTTTAAAAGATTTAATTTTGATTATACATTATAAAATACCTAAAAATTGAGATGGTATAATTTTTAAAAAGTAACCGACCAAACCGTCTTATTAACACCACTACCTACATCATCAGTCGCCCATATGATATTTACTTTATTAAATTATAAAATATAAAATTTGTAATTTTAAAAATAAGATAAGTTGTCCGGTTAATACTCTTGTTCTTTTTCATCTTTTATTCAAAAACAGTTTGATTCCCCTGCCATCTTTTGTTTTTCTTTCTTTTTTTCTTACTTGGTTTATGCTTAACTCAACATTTCTCTTAATGGTGTAAATATTTAGATGGAGAAAAATATTATTTATAAATGACTTTTTTTGTTTCATAAATCCATCAATTCATCTCATACTAATTATTTTTGGGAAAATGCATAAGTACCCCCCAGCCTATATCCGAAATCCCAGAGACACACCTAACCTTTACTAAGGTCCTATTACCCTCCGAACTTATTTTATATGTAATATTCTACCCCTTTTTGGCCTACGTGGCACTATCTTGTGGGTCCAGCGCATGTTGACATTTTTTTCAAGGATAGTGCCACGTAGGCCGAAAAGGGGTAGAATATTATAGATAAATTAAGTTCCGGGGGGGGGGGGGTAATAGGACCTTAGTAAAAGTTAGGTGTGTCTCTGGGATTTCGGGCATAGGTTGGGGGGTACTTATGCATTTTCCCATTATTTTTTTATAATCGACAAGCACAATGGTATACCGTTATAAAACTCATAATGAGTTTGTCGATATATGTTTCCTCATTTAAATATTGTTACTGACTGGTATCAGGACAAGCTTGAGCACAACTCGATGCATGTACGAAAGGTGTATAGATTATATTGAAGAAAAAACGTGAAGGCTACTTAGGACATGGATGTAGTTTGTAAAGATATTTGAAATAAGTCTGCATATTGTAAATTCCTAGAAGGTTTAATGTAGTAGCTCATAACATAGCTAATGTTGTAGCTCATAAGACACAGGAAATTGGTTTGATCTTAGTAAAGCATCGCCCAATGCTTTTATCAAATTAGCATCTTCACTATGGTTGTTGTATTAGGCTACCACCATGTTGGAAGATGTTCACTAAAAATATTTTATTGATCAACAAAAGCACCAAGAAAGTGCATCCATGTACACACAACATATAAAGTTAGAAAGCCTATATCATCTGAACAAGATGAGGAAATCAAATTAGGTGTGTACATCTTTCAGAATTCCAAATTAAATCTTGATCATGAAACCAAGCAACTGTATAAATGTTTGCATAAATCATAGAAAAATTTATGATATCCTGATATCCAAGTACTAAAGAAAACACGAAAAACATGAGATGCCCTTCACTCATAATGAATACACACACCAGCAATAATTAAGGCTCTATACAGCAAAAAAAAGGGAAGGTTAAATTGAAAAAAGGTTCTGAAATGCAAAATCCTTCAAATCACTAGTTTTTTACATTAAAATAGTGAATCTGTGATTCACAGAAGTTCCCCTTTTTCTCTTATCAGGAATTGTGCTTGTAGCGGTTCTTTACATTAAAATAGTGAATCATATAATGCACACTCTTCGGCACATAGTTCTCTTATCAAACTCCACGACAATGCTTCAGTTCATCAACTTCTTTGTGGTGCTTAATACAGCAAAAGGCAATCAGATACAAATGGGCTAACAAGAATAGGTTCACCTCTGAACCATACAAGTCCAGATATCAACACTAATTAGGCAGATTCTATAACAATATTTCCGACCTTGACAGAAACATTTTGATTAAAGAAAACATCTGTCAAAGAACACCCCATCCCACGCGCGCACACACAAATTTCATTCAATCAACCTCAAACCTATATTAGTTGGGGCAACTATATGAATCCATTGTATCAGTTCTATCAAATACATTTCGGCATACTTAGATGGGCACATCCTAAAATGAAAAAAATCATCAAACCATCTTCACATCGACTGTCAACCTACCACAAGCCTCCTTTTGGCCATCAAAACCACAACCGCCCATACTCTAGTAACTCAAGTTAGATAACTTTCAAATAGTTCAAAAGGAAAATCTTTTGGCAATTTCTTTTATTGAGTAGTCTTTCCTCCTTTAATGTATGTCTCGTTTAAAATTGATTTGAATTCTTCCGTCTAATTCAGTTATTAAGACAATCAAAAAGGTGCTGCTGGCGTCCTTATCTTTGTTTTATTTCAAATCATTTGGTTTATACATTACTTCCATCATCTGATCAAGATGATTAAGGCTGTTTGAATTACTAATTTGTTAATAATCTGATCAAAAAGTTTCTGACAGATGATCAAGGCTGTTTGATAACTCTATTATCTCATCCAGGAGGCCAAGTAGAGCATACATAAGATTGCTCAACATAAAAAATCCTTTATACAGGTTTTCGAGCAACCTTCTGTAAGCTGTCTGCATTTATTACATTAGCATCTTCACTGTGGTTGCTGAATTAGGATACCACCCTCTAATTCATTCCAATTTCTAATACCAAGATTTCAAATTGGAAAAATTGGAAGATAGTGCAAAACTTTTTCTTATACTTTACTAAAAATTAAAAGTATTTTATTGATCAACAAAAGCACCAAGGAAGTGCATCAATGTACACAAAAAAGATCATAGAAGCTATAAAGTTACCAAGTCTATATCATCTGAACGAGATGAGGAAATCAAATAAGGTGTGTACATCTTTCAGACTTTTTATATCTTGAACATGTAACCAAATTCCTTTGGCATATCATTGAGATGCCAGAAAAGTTTTTCTAAAAAAGTACATTTACATTTAGCGTATACATGTTTTCACAAACCATAGAAAAACTTTTGATCTCCGAGTAATAAAGAAACCAAGAGAAACACGAGATACCCTTCATTCATAATGCATACTCAAACCAGCAATATTATGGCTCTATACAGCAAAAAGGGGAAGGTTAAATTGAAAAAAGTTTTGGAAATCTGGAAACAAAATGTAAAATCCTTCAAATAACTTGGGGTTTAATGATCCTGGTGATTCACAGAATTTTCTGCTAGTTTATTTTCTTTCTTTCCTTCATTTTATTGCCTTTCTTATTGGGGTATGTGCTTAGAGCAGTTCTTCACATTAAAAAGAGTGACTCATAAAATTCAATCTCTTGGACGCACAGTTCTCTTATTAAAACTCCACGACAATGCTTCAGCTCCAAAGATTCATCAACTTCTTTGTGATGCATAGTACAACAAAGGTAATGAGACATAAACGGGCTAACAAGACTAGGTTCACTTGAAACCATACAAGTTCAGATATCAACTCTAAATAGGCAGATTCACTAACAATATTTCTGGTCTCGATTGTCATTTTCGATAAAAGAAAACGTCTATCAAAGAACACTTACACAGTGGCAGAGCCACATTAAAGCAAGGGGATTCATATGATACCCCTTGCTCAAAACATTTACTTATTATACATGTATATTACAAGCCAAAAATAATAAAATGCATGATATACAAGTGTTGAATCCCCTGGACTTGAAACACAAGCTTGATATAGTCTAATTTATAGAAGTTGGATTGGCTTAATGAACTGCTCCAACTCCTCTCCCCCACACCCCAAATTTGCTCAATCTTATATTAGTTAGGGTCAACTATATGAATACATTGTGTCAGTTCTACTCTATTCAACTCCATTCTGCATGCTAAATAGAGTAATGGACACATCCTAATGAAGAGTAATCAAATTATCTTTTCACCGACTGTCCACCTATCACAACCCTCCTCATGGCCATCAATACACAACCCTCCATACTCTCATACCTCAAGTTGGATAGCTTTCAAATAGTTCAAAGGTAAATGCTTCAGCAATTTCATTTGTTGAGTGACCTTTCCTCCTTTTATGTTTGTCTCGCTTAAAATAGAGTGATCTTTCCTCCTTTCATTTCTACTTGTTCCGGGATCCTTCATCTTTATTGGGTTTAGAAACTGGTGCTTATGCGGGTTTATGCAAAGAGTAACAACCCTTTCAAAGAATCCCTCTTCTCATCTTTAAAAGACTCTCAACAGAGAACACAAAAAACTTTAACTGGGATAAGAAAGGAAAGGATGTTCTTCCAAGATAACCTTAACAAAATTCAAGCATAATGCAGAATATAAATTGTTCATATTCATCGAAACATAAATTCCAATCAAATCCCTCAAAATTCCAACTTTAAACACAAAACATCTCCAATGATACCAAATACTCAAATTCACCTTTAAAAAAAAAGAAAAACTTTCTTACAAGTCGAATAGTATAGAAAGTAATATTAATATCAATTGTTCAAGTTCACGTCCACCGAAACGTAAGTTTCAATCAGATTCCCAATAACAGAAGATCGCCAATAATACCAATTAACAAATTTACCCCAAAAATAACATTTTTTTCCTTCTAAACAAAAAGTTCAACAAACTTACAAGTCAAATATATCAGTGATCTTCAGAATAACTTGTACTAGCTTCTCCTCCATGATCCTGTTTAGAACAGCAATGATCCCCATGATGATGACTCTTTGATGGGTCATTTTCTTTGTCATCGGCATCGTCATCATCGCTATCGTCTTCATCAAAAGGCTTTTCTTTGTGGAAAATGCAACATTTCTTGGAACTCTTCTTGTTGAGGAACTCGTTGTCCACAGTTCCTGGTTTCCACGATACTCTCCTCTTTGGCTTCAGTTTCAACGTTAGGGTTTCGATTGGTTGCTGCTGTGATGATGATGATGATGATGATGGTGCAGATTCCGATGGGTTTCCTAGGGTTAGGGTTACCGTCGTTGTTCCAGTCGCCGGCTGTGCAATTTCCCTCGTCCGTGTGGCCATTTTCCCGATTCTAGCCGTGTCTCTTTCCCCTTTCTCTGACTTTGTTTTCTCTCTGATAAATAAGAAAATGTAAATTGGTTTTAACTATAAAAGTTATCTTTTGATTCAAAAAAAAAATAGTTATCCACTTTAATTAAAAATAATTGATCAATAATCTCATCCAACTTAAAAAATCAAGAGATAATTTACATTTTGTGTTTATTTTATCCTTACTGTTAAATACTACTAGTAGTATTTATTATTTAACATATTTTTCAAATCATTAAATTTAATAAAGTCAAAAGCTAATATAGTAATTATAGCCCTATTATTTATTGTCTCTTTTTTTTTACCCTCCCTAGGAGCTTCCACCCCTTTTACTCCGTTGGTGACTCGATCTCTCAACCTTCGGATTAGAAGTGAGGGGTGTTTACCATCCGAGCAACTCCCTCTCGTCATTATTTATTGTTTCTTAAGGAGTGTGTTAAGTCAATAATTGAGAACTATTGTTGGACAGGAGTATTTTAATTACTCCCTCCCATTTTAACACTTAAGCTTACAAAAATTATGTCAAAACAATATTTTTGAGAGACATTACATGTGAGTGTGTTTGGAGGTCGCGAATTAGAATAGAAAGTTAATTGATAATTGTGTATTTTCTTGTTTTCTGCTTGATAGACATAGTAGTCGTACTTAGATCTCTCTTTTTATTGTTGGTATTAGTATTATTCTCGTAGTTTTTTGTTCTTTAGATATTATTGTTTTTTTATACTTTGAATATCATATCATTTTGTTGCTATATTGTTCATCCTTACGTATGTTGTATATTGTCTTTTATTTTGTTGGTGTTGTCATCCTTATTTGTGCCAGAGGCGGACCCACGTTGTATCCAGGGGGTTCACCCGAACCCCTTCGGCAAAAAATTACACGGTATATATAAGGTAAATTTTCTGCATTTCTGTAGATATATATATTTTGAACCCCCTCAATAACAAAGAGAAATTGATGGCATAGTGGCAAGTACCCTTGAAACTAAACATTATGTCACCGGATCGAATCCCAATGAAAGTGTTTTCTTTTTTTCTTTTTTAATTTCAGTTTTTTTAGTATTTTTTTAAAAAATTTTCAGTTCTGTTTTTTTTTTAAAAATTCACTTTAAAAAATGTGCTAAAAGTTTGGTTTTAAACCCAAAAGAATTCAAGGTTTCCATTTCTAAAGACTTATTTACACGTTTATACTTTTATTTTTCAAACCCCCTGAACGAAAATCCTGGGTCCACCACTGATTTGTGCATCTCATTTATCAAACTGCTTGGATATGCTTTATTTTAAGTCGGTGATCTATCAAAAACAGCTTTGTATCAGTAAGATTTGCGTACACTCTATTTCAGATTCTACTTGTAAAATTACACTGAATATATTGTTATTATTGTTATTATTAAAGAAATAATTCATTTTCGTATTGCTCCATTTTCAAAAATATCTAATAAATAGAGGTGATAGAGTAAATTATACATATAATGAACAAAAAAATGAAATTTTAAATAACCCCCCCCCCCCCCCCCGCCCCCCAAAAAAAAGTAATAGGAAGAGCAATTATTAATCCCTTCTCTCAGCAAAGAATGACAAAATTCGTAATTAAGAGAAAATTGTTTTTCCCTAAATGATATAACAATGTCTCATGTATAATAAACCAAAAGGAATATTATTACTGTTAGATCAATATGAATTCATTGAACACTTTGAAAAAGATTTTTAGTAGCTTAGTTATCAAAGTTCTTTTTATAGGTAAGTTGTAACTTGTATTAATATACTTAACAAATAATTCCCGGCTCTAACCATGTGGTAATAAAAAGAGTACTTACAAAATGTTGTATTAATACTTAACAAACAATTCGCTTGAAGCAAGTCGGTTATTATTTTTTAAAATAAAATTTATGTCTATCTTAATAATAACATATTATATTTAGCTTTGTATATTAAATGATCAAGATTATTTTTATTTTTTTCAACATCAAATTTTATAATTTAATCTTTATCAATAAAATTATACATACAAAAATTTAATAAAATACTTTAAAATATTATATAAATATTAGAATGTAAGACATTATATAAAAATACTTTAAATAGTAAAAACTTTCTAGACTGTTTTTGTCAAAGTAGTACAAAAGTATCGCATTTTGACAGTTATTTTTAACTTTATATAACGTTTTGAAAAAACACCAAAAATTAATCGAATTATAAGAATATCGAGAAAAAATTTAAGATGATTTGACGATTTTAAAAAGTTTAATTTTGATGTTACAAAATAAAACAACCACAAAAGTAAGTATGATATAAATTATATAAAATAATCAACGATCATTTTATTGACATTCCTGATTTCAATGAAAGACTTTTATTTGAAGCAAATAATTCATCTATAAGTAATGATCTTAATCAACTAACTAACAAACATTTGTTTTCCTCGTATTATTAAACCTTAATCTATATAAACAATGTAAAAATATCTTTCAGCTCCCTTAATCAATATCAATCAATTTGCATATGGTGTGAACACTCACCAAATTAAAACCAATTCATATACTAGTTTCTTTTTTCATCCAAAAATTGTCATATACTGTATTAATTTATTATGGACATAATATGTCAAAAGAAAAGTTCAGCATCATTTAAAATCCAAGTTGGGAATAGTCTTTCCCTAAGAAAATCCAGTCAACAAAGAAATTGAGAACTTAACTACGTTGAAAGCTACAACATTAAATCTTCTAGGAATATGTACAAACACGATATGCTCTAGAAATGCAGACATATTCCAAATATCTTCACAAACTACATCTATGTCCCAAGTAGTCTTCACGTTTTTCTTCAATACATCTACAAAACATTTTGCATTCCTCTATCCATGTTGTATAGCTTTTTCCACATATTCTTTTATTGCACACGCTTCAACAATCATAGACTTCCCAACAAATTGGATTTGGGATCCTTGGGCATGAAGCAATACACCCTTGCTATCCATAGCAACCAAACCAATGGCTGCCTTCTTTGATTCAACATGTAACCTTGCTTCAACAAATAAATAGATCTCATTTTCGGAAACTCTTTCTTTATAGTCTGAATTCTCTTGAAATTTGCATTTGAAGAAATTGCAAGCACTATATCAAGATATTCATTATATTCAAATAAAGCTTTTGCCATATATCTGGAGAGTCGCTTAATTCATTATTAAAACTCCAAGCAATCCTAGACTTCCAAATATGCCATATAAACATCACCATCAAATTCAAATCATTAGCAAAATTGAGACATTTTTTTGCCATATTAATCTTATCATTCTACCACAAAGAAAAGTCAGTAATGTTGGCAAAATCATTCCAGTTAATAGGGCTCATTTTTCAAGTTATTTGAGAATTCCGACACTTGAAAAACATGTGTTCCATAGTCTCATCTTTTAAACCACGTCTTTTACAAACACTATTGACATGATTTAGTCGTTTCTTAATAATATTGTATTAAGCACACATCTTCATAGAAAATGTTTATGCTTATTTTTTTTATTTCATTGCCCATCAAAAATCCCAAAAAACTTTTGAAAAAACATGACTACTAGATAGAGCAATATTACCCCTAGCATCCCTCATCATGCATAATTTTTTTGCAAGGTGATAACTCGATCTTACCTCATAAGTACCCGATTTTATAAAGTGCCAAATTAGTTTATCCCTAGAGCATGTAGTAGATAAAAGAATAGTCAAAATATTATCAATATCATTTAAGCAAAAAAAAATCAATTCAATTCATCCATCTTTCAAGTCTGGGATTTAACACTTATAATAAGGTCAAGCACTTTTAAGTCTAAATTTTCAAGAGCAATAGTTCTATGAGATTTAAAATCAATGGAATTAGGAATTGAAGGGTCTTTACAGACTTAAATGCTTTCTTCTTCTTCAAGTATATTAAATCATTATTGGGATAAAATAAAACATGTAAAATAAATTCACTAATTAGTTAGACAAAATTTAGATAGAAACTAAGCAAAAAGGGAAAAAAAATTGAGACTCAGATGCAATATTTTATCGTCTAATTTCAGACTAGGTAGAATAAATTTCATATACAGTTAACAATATCAGAATATTTTTTAGATTCCTCAATCAATATCAATCAATCTGCATATGGTGCGAACACTTAGAATGTTCTTTTTTTTATCTTTTTCTTACGGTTTTCAATACTTTCTTCTTCTTCAAGTATATTAAATCATTAATGGGGACAACAGAAAACATGTAAAATAAATTCACTAATTAGTTAGACAAATTTTAGATAGAAACTAAGCAAAGAGGGGGGGAAAATTGAGGCTCAGATGCGACATTTTATCATCTAATATATATCAGACTAGGTAGAGACCCAAAATCTCACCAACTGCGCATTAATCATCACAGCACTCAAATGTTTGCACCAGCCGGGAATCGAACCCGGGTCTGTACCGTGGCAGGGTACTATTCTACCACTAGACCACTGGTGCTGCTTGTTTAAAACCTTCAATTTATTATATTAATATGAATAAACAAGTTACCATTTCAAATATTCATATTGTATAAAATAAAATCAGGTTGACCTAGCATTCTTTTTAATTTGCAGTTCTAGATAATATATCTAATGAATTGATTTGACAAAAATAAAAGGACAGATAATCTACCTCATTAACCCACGTATGAAGTTATTTTTTTCTTCTGAGAATTTTGTGTCTCGTTGCCTTGAAATAGAGCAGTGTGTCGATTGATTCGGTTTAATTTTGAAGTTTATCGATTATTGATATGTAGAAATGTTAATTCATTATATATATTGGTTTATCGATTATTGATCGTTATCGATTGAGTCATCGATTTAACCATTAAGATTTTTTACGCAAATTTTTTTTTATATAAAAAAATATTTAGAAATAAGGTGTCAAACTAAAATACCATGCATATGAGTGGAAAATTGCATCTTGCTCAAAACCAAATACTGACACCTTTTAGAATAATAGAGAGTTTGAGACCGTTAGAAATAATCTAAA